CATGGGAAAACACACAGAACAGAGACACGGCTTTTGTGTACTCACCCAGAGAGAAAGACAAAGAATCAATCACAAGTCCACACAAATCTGACTAACTCCAAAGTCCATGTGTTCCCTCGGGATTGCCCTACCCTTTCCCACAGAAGACATGGTGGCTCCTGTCTACTGGACATTGTCTGAATGGGGAGGAGGACAGGCAGGAAGTCAGCTGGAAGAAGACTCCATGCCTCTTCTGTAAGATCTGGTTACTGCTGTAGTTTGGCTATGAAGTACCCCCTAGAGTCCATGTATTAAAGACTTGGTCCTTGGTCCATGATGCTACAGGGAAGTGGCAGAAGCTTAAGAGTTGGGGCCTACAAGAATGATGTTAGACATTGAGGGTGTCCCCCGGAAGGGGATATTGGGACCCTGGTCCCTTCCCATGTCTCCCTTTTCACTTCCAAGCTGCATGAGGTGAACAGCTTCTACCACTACTTCTACTGAGCTCTATTGCCTCACCACAGAACCAAAGGCAATGGGGTCAAACTTCTTTTTTCTTTTTTCTTTTTTTTAAACAGGGGAGAGCGCGAACGCAGTCCCCCACTACCACAAATTATGCACTCGAGTTTCCCGCATTTGGGGAAATCGCAGGGGTCAGCGCATTCGGAGTGCAATGGATAAGCCTCGCCCTGGGAAAACCACCTTCGTGATCATGGTATCTCCCCTGCTAGGTAAGTATTGGGGTCAAACTTCTTAACATGTGAACAAGACAACGACGCCCCCCCCCAAAAAAAAGTGTGTTGTCTCAGGTACTTTGTCTTAGTACTGCAAAGCTGACTCACAAAGGTGTCTACTAACAGACGAGTGCATAAAGCAAGTGCCACATATATGGACAATGGGATGTTACCCCCTTTGCAAAACCTTGAGTAGAACTGGATGCTGTTATGCTGAGAAAATCAGATTTCGCATAAAAAGACAAATACCACACTCTCCCATTTCTATTTGAAATTGAAAAGTTGATATCAGAGAAATAGATGGTTTAATAGCAGCTGCCAGAGCCTGGGAACGATTGTCCATTGCCAGGGTGTGGGGGAAGGAGGTGTGGAGGAAACGTGATGACTGGGTACAGGGCTGCAATTGGATAAGAGGAAGCGTCCCCAGCATGTTAGGAAAAGTATGGTTGACAGCAATTAGATGTCATTAGATGTTGAATGTTCCAACGTGGTTGGTCAAGACAATGTTGCACATGCCTAACCCAAAGAAATGGCAAGTACTTGCAGTGATAGACATATTGTCCCCATATGATCATACACAATTCATATGTGTATTTAAATATTATTCTGTATCCCAAAAATATGTGCACTTACTGTGTGATAATTAAAACATATTTTAAAAGGAAAAGAAAAGGTCCAGAGAGCTGGCTCAGAGCACTGGCTGCTCTTCCAGAGGACCTAGGTTGGTTTCCCAGCACTCACACGGCAGCTCACACCAGTCTGTAACTACAGTTCCAAGGGATCCAACTCCCTCTTCTGGCCTCTGTGAGGATCAGGCATTCATGTGGTGCACAGACATACATGCAAGCAAAACACTGATACACATAAATAATAATAATAATTTTTGAGACAGGTTTCTCTGTGTGGTCCTGGAACTCATTCTGCAAACCAGATTGCTCAAACTCAGAGATCTGCCTGCCTCTGCCTCTCGAGTGCTGGAAATAAAGGCGTGTGCCACCACTCCTGGCTAAAAGTGAATCTTTTAAAAATTTAAAATAAGAAAAGTCATGGTGTTCACAGAGAAAGAGTAAATATATTTAAAACCACTCCAGGGGCTGAGGTGCAGCTCAGTGGTAGAATGTTCGATTACAATGTACTAGATGATGGGTTTGATTCTCAGCACCACATACACACACATGCAAACCACTCTGCCTATATGTGCTTCTGTATACTTGAAACGTTAACTATGTTGGACCTCCTGGCACGGGCCTGTAACCCCATCTACTCAAGAGGCTAGGGCCAGAGAATAATGAGTTCATGGTATGCCTGGGCTACAGTATGAGTTCAATGCTAGCCTGGGCAACTTAAGGAGACCTTGGTTCAAAATAAAAGTAAGAGGAGGATGGCGTGTAGTTCAGGGTAGAGCATCGGTCGGCATATGTGAGGACCCAGGCTCAATCTCCAGCATCAAAAAAAAAGAAAAGAAAAAAGTGGGTGCAACCCAGCCACCACTTGGGTGTGAAATGTTATATACTGCTCCTCCTTGCTGTCCCTCTCAGTGACTGCCACTGACTTCTGTAATCACTGCAATGCAAACCCTGCTCTGATCTCATGCTGTGTCCCTACCCAGGGGACGGTTTCTTCTGGACATCAGCGTTGCTTGCTTGTTTTCTGTCCCACCTGCACTCATTCTTTTAATATTGCCCTTCGTATACTAACACTCTTTGTTTGGTTCACACAGACAAGGAAGTCAAGTTCACTGCCCTCTGCCATCTCCCGTCCCCAGCTCTACATCCCCATAGTAACCAACTGTGAAAGCTAATTCTGTCAACTTAACTAGCCGTGGGGTGCCCGGGGATGTGGTCAAACACTTATTCCGATGTATCTGTAAGAGTGGACAATTTGTATTAGTAGACTGAATAAAGCAAGTGGCTCACCGAAATGTAGGTGGGCTTTGCCCAGTCTGAATTTTAAAATGCCCTCTCTTTAATTGTCTTATCCTGGGACATTGAGTTTTTTCCTAGCTTCCAGATTCAACCATTCAACCAGTAGAACATTGGCTCTTGGCCCATGGGTCCATTGGCTTTCAAACAGCTTTCCCACCGTCTCTGCTGGGGCTCCAGTTCACCTACTGCAGATTAATGGAACTTCTCAGTCTTTATAATCACGTGACCTCAACCTTACAATAAATCCCACCCCCAGGTCTTCAGTACAGTCTGTTCCGGAGTACCCTGACCAATAGCAGTCCTTTCTTCATCAAGGGAAGGACTGACCCCATTCAGTTGTTCTCTGGCCTCTTGTGCAACATTTCCAAGCTGGAAGACTTAAACCCACAACTTGGCTCATGTATTTCTCAAATTCTGTATTGTCCTTCTTTGCATATGTCTTCTCTTGCCTTATGCCTAGGGTGTCAACTACTGCTTCTCTTTTATATCCCCTAGAGCTTAATGCAATACCTCTGTTGTTGAGTAGGTGAATATTACCTCAAGCTAAACAAGACTGAACATTGAAAGACTATGAAAGTCTGACATAATACTATATAATTGAATTTGAAGACAAATAATATCTAAGTGATCTATTTGTGACAAAACCCAGAAAATTACTCCTTTAGAGGACATCTACAGTATATGCCAGATGCTTAGGTGGTGTTTCTATTACCTGGAGAGTTTTAAAATAGCTCTCATACCAAATCTCACCCCAGAACAATTAAATAAAAAGCTCTGGAGTGGTTTGTAGGCAGTATTGTTTTTAACCTTCCAAAATAATTCTTATAGGCAGTCAGAGTTGAAAGTCACAGTCCACAGGGAATGCAGGTGAACTGATTTCGGTTTCTATGAGGGATGAACTTCTGTTGAAAAGGAGGCTTATGGCTGGAGAGATGGCTCAGCTGTTAAGAGCACTGGCTGCTCTTGCTGGAGGACCCAGGTTCAGTTCCCAGCATCTACATGGGGGTTCACAACTGTCTAGAACTTCAGTTCCAGGGCACATGTGTATATTCACACAAACACACATACACAGAAAATAGAAATAAATAAATAAATAGACAAATAAATAAATAAGACTTCAATTTGTCTTTGATGTCGGAAAGGGAAGACAGATGTGACTGAAAAATTACATCAGTAACTATCTACTGATCACATACTCATTCCTTCTGACACCCATAGAAGTAAGCAGTGTTTGTTACTGGGTGCATTTTGCAAATGGAGACTAGGAAACCGGAAAAGCACTTGAATTTACAGAGATAACTAAGTAAGGTAGCTGAGATGGGGAAATGTGAACCCGAATACCCAGGAGGCTTCAGAGTGGGTGGGGAATTTGGTGCTTCGGTGACCAATGTACCGTGTGTTGTGGGTGTCCACACAGGCATGTACATGTATGATGCTTTTTTTCTTAGCTGTGCTGGTGACTGAACTCAGGACCTTGTGTATTAGGCAAGTTCCATACCACTGTGCTAGATCTCCAGCCCTGGAGCTTTTTCAGTAGAAGTAAAACAGATTAGAGTTTTACTTCTGGGGCTGGACTCTTATAGAAGAAAAAGCCGCCGGGCGGTGGTGGCGCATGCCTATAATCCCAGCACATGGGAGGCAGAGGCAAGTGGATCTCCGTGAGTTCGAGGCCAGCTTGGTCTACAAAGCGAGTTCCAGGACAGTCATGGTGTGGTGCCCAGAGAAACACTGTCTTGAGAAACAAAAGAAGGAAAGAAAGAAAGAAAGAAAGAGAGAGAGAGAGAGAGAGAGAGAGAGAGAGAGAGAGAGAGAGAGAAGAAAGAAAAAGAAAAAGCAGGACCTTGGGGCATGGTAACAGGTAGGCCAAGGAGACGATATCAGGAAGGGTCTCTAAGGAGAGGATATGGGCTTCAGATAGTGGTTTCAGCAAGCTGACTTGCCCATGTTCTCCCTTATGCCAGTTACCAGCTTTAGCTAAGTTGGGGTAACTCTGGGAAAGGGCCCAATGAGGGTAGAATAGCAAAGGGGTGCTCTCCACAGTCCTCCCTTAAGCCAAAGTGGTGAGCATCGTTCATGCAGAGTAACTGGAAAGTGTGAAGAGCCACGTGTCCCTGGGAACACGAACGCGGAAGACTAAGGCAGAAAAGGCCCCAAGACCAAAAGAACAGGAGTAGTTTGTCTGACTAGAGGGGAACCTGGAGCCTACTATCTGGAGACCCTGGTGGTCTGGGAGGTCTCCTATAGCATTTCAGGCCGTTGTTAGTGACACATCAATACAAACATGGACCTAAGCAGCCGTCTAGCCCCACCCTCAATTAGAGCCCAACACCTCACAGGGGATCTTTGGGAAGTCCGGCCCTACCTTTGGTTAGGGAGTGAATCCCCAGCTTGACCTGGGAAAAGTTCCCACTTCCGATCTCCCCTCGAATTCGATAGAAGCCGATGCGTTTCCCCAGCGTGATCTCCCTCACCACCTTCTCGTCTTGGCACATGTCCTGAGTCAGTTTCTCGAAGGGGGTCAGCTGGCGCGGCTGGTCCTCCTCGCCTTCCTGGCCACACTCGGCCTGGCCGCTGCTGCTTTCCGCGCTGTCCCTCCGGTCCCACCGGTCCCAGTGTGTGTTCACCAGGCCGCCTCCATTCACAAACACTGCAGTCATCGTCCATGCGGGCTCACGTCTCCATCTCAGCCCAGAGCCACTGTCAGGGCGGCTTGGAGGACGGGCAGAGGCCACAAGGGAGGTAGATGTGAGCTGAGGTCTCCCGGAGCAGTGTCCCTGAGAGTGCTGAGAGCAGAGCAAAAAGAAGTCCTTGCAAGACTGGGTGGCTGGATAGAGCTTGCACAGCCCAGCGGGGCCTCACTCCAGGCCCTTTCTGACCTCGGGTTTCCCAGCGCTCCCTGCACAGCCAGACGCACATCCAGTTACCATAACTCCTCCTGAGGCGGAATCTGATGCCCTGTGTGGTAGGTGGCTGCCACGGGGGACAAAGGCTCCGCTTTATTTCCCTGTGTAATCAGGCAGTCTTGCACTCCAGAGTGTAAAAGCCCCTGGGAGGTCCCCGAGTCCCTGCAGCGGGTACTCATCGCTGGCCTTCATTTTGTGTTTCTTCTTGCTGTCAAGTCGCAGGACCCTGGGGACTTAATAATCCGAACTCCAGAAAGGAAGAGTCTTGCAAAGCAGCCTTTGGTCACACAGGCAGCCGGAGGATTAAATCTGCACAATGTCACTTTAGCCGGCCTTTATTTAGATGAGCCCTCTTCTAAGCCCTGAGCTGTCCTGAAAATTTGGCAGATGACAGCTCACCCTAAGGACAGAGAGTAAAATAATTAGCCCATTCTAACGCGCTGCCCAGGAGAATACGAAACTGCTTCATGAACATTTTTCTAAAAGCACTCTACGAATTTATGAGTCATGTTACTAGTAGATGCTACATTACATACTGTTTAACAAAAAGGAAAGTCAACATGCATACATGCTCTCCATGCACATTTTAGGAAACCGTTACAGTCCATGAGTTTCAAGCAAGGCATATTTGTATTAGTTGTATTAGTTCACTTCAAAAAACAGATTTTTTTGGAATATGAAACCACAATAATGACAGTTTATCGATTTTCAAACCGCCTTACAGTTTTGCAAATGTTTTATCTCCTCTAACGCCTTCATACTTCAGCCCAGCTTCCCCTTCACTGGTTGCTTTCATTCTTTCTGTTTCTCCAAAGACAAAGACCACTTCTCTCCTCTGCTTATTTTTTTCCTTATATTTCTGCTGGGCTGTCAGTCTGCAGGCCCAGCCCTTTATGTGACAGACAGACTCGGGAGGCCAGCGTGGCCAGAGGTGTGAAGGCTGCCCTGTGGACCCCATTCCAGTCTTTGCCTGCTCTCTCTAGCCTGTCAGCTGTCCTAGGCTCACGGAACCCTTTGAGATGGTCACAAAACAACACGAAAAGCCCAGGTGGTGGTGGCGCACGCCTTTAACCCCAGCACTCAGGAGGCAGAGGCAGGCGGATCTCTGTGAGTTCGAGGTCAGCCTGGGCTACCAAGTGAGTTCCAGGAAAGGCGCAAAGCTACACAGAGAAACCCTGTCTTGAAAAACCAAAAACAAACAAACAAACAAACAAACAAACAAAAAAAAACAAAAAACACCAGCACTAAGCAGCGTCTTCTCTCCGAGTCCTCTTGGCGTCCTGATTACTTTCTGAAAGGTCCCTTCTCCTCAAAGGTGGAAAGCACAGTCCGCCCCCATTTTCCCTCCCAGAGCATGGAGTGCTGGGCTCTGGATGTTGCCAGTGTCCACTAAACGTGGATGGAGGTTGACTTTTGAACTTGAGCATTTTCTGAACAACAACAACTAAACATAACCAAACAACTAAACAAACAAACAAACAAAAACCTAACCTAACAGATTGCTTTGGAAATGCAATTTCTAGTCTGCTTGAAGATATTATGTTATTGTTATGAGTAGGACTGCCTATGCTGTTGTTACAGGTTAAGTATGGGGTTGCTATAAGAAAGGGTAGGGAAGCCGGGCGGTGGTGGCACACGCCTTTAATCCCAGCACTCGGGAGGCAGAGCCAGGCGGATCTCTGTGAGTTCGAGGCCAGTCTGGGCTACAAAGTGAGTTCCAGGAGAGGCGCAAAGCTACACAGAGAAACCCTGTCTCGAAAAACCAAAAAAAAAAAAAAGAAAGGGTAGGGGGTTTGTGCCCAATACTCCTCCTATTTCTGGATACGGGGACACGAAGGTAGAAGAAGTTTGCAGGGTTATAAAGGGCCACACAGCAATAACTAACACAGCTCTAAGGCAGAGTGATTCAGATGTCAAAAAAACAAACCCCCAAAAAACACGGAGGCCAAAGTTCCTTTACTGGATTAAGGAAATTCAAGACACTCATTATAATTGTCCTGGACTCGCAGACGCCTTTGAGACACTAACAAAATCTATGAGCAGGAAAAAGCACACCCACACAATTTGCATGTAGCGTTAGAGAGTTCACAGACACTCTGAAACCTACCCCCGGATGTCTGGCTGAGCAAAGGTCAAGTGACACCTGACTCGCAGATTTGCAATCCAGAGCTCATGAGAGACAGGAGTAGCATCAGCCGTAATTCTGAAAGAAACTTTAGCTTAACCAATGCAAAGGAGAAGGGCTAGTCCAGTGCAGCAGCCGCTGTGAAGAACTCTTGGCCCTGTGTCCTCCTGGAGTCCCTCCTCACCGGGCCGCGGTTGTCAATGGCCTATTTTATCACAGCTAAATAAATAAGTGTGTCCCCGGGCTCTGCACAGTGTCTGGCACTCATCTGATAAGTTTATTAAAGAAGAAAAGAACTAAATGCCAAGTTACCCAATGTTAGGTTTTAGTTTGGTTGAGTAGAGGTAAATACCTTTTTATTTGTGAACTAATAACACTAGCCCAGCATTTACTTTTAATTATCACAGAAAACTTACTTCAGCACATTCTTTCCAGAGCCTGGGCTACGCTGCAACAGCCGTTAGGATTCTCGACCCCACTTTTCCTGTCTAGATGAAAAGCTTAGCTGCGAGTCTGTCACCTGACTGGGATGTGTTGTGGGACTCCTTCCACAGGCATCTCCTTGTCCTTGCTCCTTCCAAGAGGTCCACTCTTCCCAAGCCGTCAGGACTCTGGTCACCAGCTTTCCTCATCCGCCACACAATTGCTGGACCAGGGCTTGCCCTCTGCTTTCCTGGTTCCCCGACGCTCTCAATGTGGGCTCTGTATCCTGAGCTCCACCAGGGCCCTGGGATTACACAGTGTTTTAACTTCACTAACCCAACTGACTTTTGGTGCCTCCTAGAACAAGCCCCCCTTCTTGCTCCACTCAGGGAAGAGGTCAGATATAATTGCTGCCAGTGGTCAAGGTGTTTAATGGTTTATGAGTTTTATATACCCTCAAGTTAGATTTCTTGCAACATGGCCTTAAACCAATTCTCTTTTCTTAAAAGCCAGGAAAACAGCTACTCTTCTACTTAAATCAGATGAAGACGCTTTTACAAATTTACAAGAATTAGGCTTGTATTGAAGATGAATTGAAACTTGTTGATAATGCCAATAATCCAATTAGGGCTAAATGAACCCTTTTCTACTCCAAAATAGATCACATAAATACATATAAACAAAAGATTCAGCTCTCTCTGTACTCTTTGTACTCTCCCTCCACTCGGTCTCTCTGTCTCTGTCTCTGTCTCTCTCTCCTTCTCTTCATAAAGCTCTAAAAGGTTAAAAAAAAAAAAAAGATTCCAACACCGGGATGGGGGTGAGGGGAGTGTCTCAGTGGTTAGAAGACTGAAGATCGCAGAGCCAAAATCATGGTGACTATTTGAGTGTGGAAGAGAGCAAGTTCCAAGCCCGTACGTTCCAGAAGGCTGGAACGCTCTCTGCCTCCTACCCCTGCCCAGCTCACGAAGAGCCCTGGGCACAGGGGAGAGTGTTAGGTAAAACTGCCTTATGGAATCCTCTTTCCTTCATCTTTCTGCACTTGCAGTTTCTGGAAAAGAGGGGACTAACCATCTAAACCTCCAGACAGGGATCTCTTTGGCTGGACTAGCTCTGAAGGAAAGCCTCCCCACCCCCACCCCTCCACCCCCGCCAAAAAAAAACCCCTACATTTGGAGACTGTGCAATGCAAAAGCTCTCGGACTGCCCACTGTACAATCCTTGGGTGCCAGTGCCCTCCCCACACACATACGAGAGAGAGAGAGAGAGAGAGAGAGAGAGAGAGAGAGAGAGAGAGAGAGAAAGAGAGAAAGAGGGAGAGAGAGACAAAGAAAGAGAAACAGAAAAAGACAGAAACAGAGACAGAGAGACAGAATTTCTAATCCAGTCTTAGTTTCTGCCTAGTAGAGAGAATGGCCACTCCAGAGGCACCAAAGGAAGGACTCCAAAATGAAAGAAACCACACCCACCCAAACCACCACGACAACCAAAAGGACCTTAAAGGAAATAGAACAAGAAGGAAGCCGAAAACATCCATAAAAACCAAAACAAAGCACTAAAAATTAAAAGACCACTCAGACAAGAACGAGATCTCTTGAGAATTAAATTATTTCCCTGAAGAATCTTATTTTTTTTTCATCTAGAAGAGATGAATAATAGAAAATAAAAGAAAAAAATCTGGTCAATCAGATCAGAAATCCCAACATACTGATTATCAGGATTCCCAGTCACACTGTAATGTTCTCAATAATGACAAACATTAAAAAAAAAGCTGGGCAGGGGTGGCACACGTCTTTAGTCCCAGCATTCAGAAGGCAGAGACAGGTGAATCTCTGTGAGTTCGAAGCTAGTCTGGTCTATAGAGAGGTCCAGGATAGCCAGGGCTACACAGAGAAATCCTATCTTGAAAAAAGTAATAATAATAATGACAAATATATAATAATTACTCCTGTCGCATTTGAATTGCCAATAAATTGTGGACTTTATTAAAACAGTTATAAATGAGGAGAAACCCCACACATGCTCACATCCTACTAGAATGAAAATCTGAATAAAAGAATGCACGGAAATGGTAAATCTACATTGCTTGTGTATGTCCATGAGGGAATGCACATCCATTTTGCAAAGTTTTATTTTCCCCCTGGAGACTCGCACTAGGTCTCTGCTCATAGAAACCCTGCTTAGTTTAAAGGGCTGCTGCCAACAGTGCAGAGTTCAACTGCTTTTTCGTACTATCCCCAGACCTCAAGCTAGATCATGTTGAAAATTAAACAAGTAGTAGAAGATATGAGTGATTTCAGGAGAAATCTCCCATTTCCCAGATGCAGGCACTGTTGTTTTTACCTTTTGCCCTTTGATTTTGACCAGTTTTTTTTTTTTTTTATGGACCCTAATAAGAACTTAGAAACTCACTCAGACAAAAATATGGAGTCATGTCATCATAGATCAAAGTACCCGGAGGAGGCAGACTAGCCCTTAATTATTAGCTTACTGCTGCCGCACACCAATGCATTACGTAAGATGAAAGAACACAGGGCTTACTTGGTAATTTATTTTCTTGACTTGCAACCCACTGTGAAAATAATAGCAAAGGAAGCTGTGGTGATATTTTGTTGTACTCTAATAAAATTTGCCTGAAGATCAGAGGACAGAGCCAGCCACTAGATGAAATATAGAGGTCAAGCAGTGGTGGCACACATCTTTAATCCTAGCACTCAGGAATCAGAGATCCCTCTGGATCTCTGGGAGTTCAAGGCCACCCTGGGCTACATGAGATTGATCCAGTCTAGGAAAGAAACAGAGCCGGGCAGCTGTGGCACACACTTTTAACCCCAGTATTTGGGAAGCACACA